TGACACACTCCGAGTCCCTTATCTGTCTACCAGCCTGTCTCTGTCCTTCCTTCCCTGCTGGAACCATCTTTCTGTCTTACTATTCCCAGTCCCAATTTCTGGCATTAAACAGAGACCAACAAATGATTTTGAATGAAAAGACATTACAGAGCACAGCCTTCATAACATTTTGTCATTATAGGGCTTTTATTTGACCAGTATAAAGGTGTTTGTGCCAGCAGGACTGGGCCACATTATTTCTACATACATACATCTGACCCTCTGAGCCTCTGCTTACAACCTGCTAACCTATGTCAGATTTACAGCCAGACATTATAGGTAATGTCAGCAATATTCCCAAGCAAGCACTGATACTTCTCAATTTTCTTTTACACATCCTCACATCCTTTGTGGCTCATCTCAGTTTTATTTATTTATTTATTTATTTATTTTAACCTGTGCAGGTGACAAAAAGGAGGCAAGGGAACATCTACTGAGGTATCAGGCACCCTGGTGAGCACTACAATCTAATTCTCCAGCATCCTGGGGGACAGAACTTTGGAGAAAGATAGATCACTTAATACATCCCTGTAGTGACACCGCATGCCTGCTAGAGAATCTTCTGCCATGTAACTTCGGAACCTGTTTCCTCAACTGGAATGCAGGAGAGCGGTGCTTCCCGTGGTAGTTGTGAGGATGAAGTGAGCGGTCCTGAGGGACAGGCTCTTGTATCAAGATAGCACATGGTGCGTTTACTCTGGTGTGAGGAACTGAGAGAAGGCGCTCAGCGTCCCCACCCCCGTCCCCACCCCCCACCCCCCAGCATCTCCGCCTCCTCCCTGGCATCCTCAGGATCTTTGTGGGATCCGAGGGAGGTTTGGGGGGCTCCTGGAAGGAGGGAACAGTTGTGAGGACAGGCAAGAAAAACTTCCTGTGGCCAGGGTGCTGGGCACCGGCAGGTGAAAGGCGGCGCCGGCAACGAGTGATGCTCCGCGAGGGCAGCGTGCCAGGGCGGCCGCAGGGCCCGGTGGGGTGGAGGCCTTCCGCGGTCCCATCTCTTGGAAGGTCTTGAAACCCTAAAAAGGCCAGAGACAGTCACCATCTGTCGTGTGGTATTAGAGCCCGGGCCAGCGCCTCCCCGGCTGGAAGGCGGCAGTCGTTAGGGACCGCACCTGCCTGCCCCTCCCCCTCCGGCGGGAACCCACAGCGCGGAGCCGGCCACCTGGCCGCTCGCCTGGGAACTCCGGGCGCGCGAGTCCTCCAGGACGCTCCCCCCTCAGAAAGGCGGCAAAAGCACCACTTTGGCCGCACGGGGTTCTCTTAGGAGTCGGAGAGAACAATCCAAGGGCTCCTTGAAGTAATCATCAGGATGAAAACGGGGTGAAGCTGGCACCGGCATAAAGAAGTTGGGCAGCCAGGGAGAACTCAACCCGCCAAGACATGAACATTTAATAAAGAAAGGTTCACAGACAATGGGGACAGAAGAGATTTCCATTAGCTGGAATAACTGATGAGTTCTTTAGGCCAGAGAGGGGAGGCACAGGGTGAAAAGTGGGGGGAGGGGAGAAATAGGGAGATAGAGGGTGGGGGGTGAAGTTTAGATGCATATCTTCTATTATACATCAAAATCAATTTCTGATAGTTAAGCGGGGGTTTGGGTTTAAAGGATACAGATGCAAAAAGATGGGGTGTGGGGGTGGGGTGGAGAACCCAGAGGCTTCCAAGACAGGAGCTAAACCCCAATAGGAAAGATGATTACGTAGGTTCAGAAAAGAACAACAAAACAAAACAATTTTGTTTATGCCAATTTTGTTGTTATTTGCCTCCCTCCTTCCTCTTAACCAGATAGTTTTACCTGGTCATTGATGTCCACTAGTTGTTTTGTTTTTTTTTCCTAAAAATTTATTCATTCATGCATACAGAACTGGGGTACAAGCCAGAGATGCAGGGGGTGAGAGGACTCACCAGAGACAGAGTGGGGAGCAGAACAGGCCATCTGATGAAGTACACTGCTTAGGGGAGCAGCGGGCAGGTCAGGAGAGGTCTGCTGCGCCATGTGGTCACCTCCTGGGCAGGGATTGCACTCCACTGAGGTGGCTGCAGGTTACTTGCAGTGCTGCGTCCTAACCCTTTGTACCACCAGGGAGGGCCCCCACTAGTTTTTGTAAGTGGTTTACTTTACTGAATCTTCATAAAATTCCAGTATTTGTTCTTATTCTTCGGACATGCTTTACTTTTACATATCATCCTCTTAAACTATATCCACTTTGTGAAAACGGCTGCATTTTAGCTCTCCCCTCCTAAATCAGTCATTTTAAAGTAATATGCATGAATTGGAAAAATGATCAAAGGTTCCATGCCCTATATAAAAAAATCCAAATGTCTAATAATAAAGGAATGGCTAAATAAACTATAGTAATTTGCAGTTTTATGTTTATTTTCCTGATTTTTAAGATAATACAGGTTTGTTGAAGAAAATTTGAGAAATAGGGTCTTCTTGGTGACCTAGGGGTTAATTCTCAGTGCTGTCACCATTATGGCCTGAGTTCAATAACCAGAAGGCCAGGGAGCTGACCTACATGGCACAGCAGGACCTCTCCTGTTTCACCCACTGCTCCCCTCAGCAGTGTATTTCAGTACATCTGCTTGTTAGGCTCCTGGCTCTGTCTCTGGTGAATCTTCTCACACACCCCTCACCCCATACTTCTGGTCTGCACCCAGATCTATGCGAAAAAAAAAAAAAAGGAAATTTAAAAATAAACAATTATGGATGAAAATGAAAACAATCCAAAATTAACAGGCAGAGATAGCCATTTCTCATATTTTATCTGCTTCCTTCTAAGAATAGCTATGTATTTGTTCCACAATATGGAGTTAAGTATTTTCTATTTAGATTTAGATCCCGCTGGTTTAAGCTTTCTGTGTAAATATATGACTATGGGGCCTTTCCTAGTGGCAACAGGTTAGGGTGCAGCACTGCAAGCTAGCAGCAGCTGCTTCAGAGCAAGCTCGATCCCGGGCCTGGGAGGTGACCCACACGGTGCAGCAGACTTCTCCTATCTTGCCTGCTGCTCCCTCAGCAGTGTACTTCCACGATCTGCCTGTTCTGCTCCCCACTCCATCTCTGGTGAATCCTCTCACGGTCCCTGTACCTCCAGCCTGAATCCCAGTTCTGTATGCATAAATAAATAATCTTTAAGAAATAATAAAATAAATAAATATACAACTATGTATACACATACATAAGATAGAAAAGAGGTATTGATGTACTGTGCCAAGCCCTCTTCATGGCCTGGCTTGTTTAATTAGCTCAGGCTCCCTGTGAGGTCCTATCACCCCCATTGTACAGATGAGGAAAGTGAGGGCTATGGAAGTGAGTGATCTGGTGAAAGCCACTTAACTAGTGAGTAGTGTTGCCAGGCCTGAAGGCCAGGCATTCTGGTTTCACAGCTCGCACTCTGAACCAAACTCTATTCTACATCCCATGCCGTTAAAAGTTCTTTGGGGGGCCCGCCCTGGTGACGCAGTGGGTTAAAGCACTGCACTGAGAAGCTAAAGCCACTTCCGCATGAGTTCGATCCCCGCCTGCCCCGGAGGTGACCACATGG